ACCCATATAAAAACATCAATTCCAAGCCCATCTCATATAGACAATTAATATATAACACATAGCACGTATTTCATAGCTAATGCTTTACATTTATGTGTTTAGAAGAGAGTAACCGCACACTCAAACATATAAACCACAATATATATACACATAACACGTATTTCGTATAAAATACTTCATAATTATGCGTTAGAAGAAAGTAAATACACACTCACTTGATCAGAAGATGATCGGACAGCACTACGGCTTGTAGAAGTAGTATTCTTCAGTAGATCTGGAAGATCTTCACAAAAAATCCGGCAGAGCTTCGGATTGGGAATTGCACTTCTCGGGATCTTTGGGGCCTCGGGACTTGCTTCGGGGCTCGGGAATATTACCGGGGATTTGGGGTATAAACGGCACGCAAAACGAGGCAAAAACTAGAGAGAAGAAAGAGTTTGAACAAGAGAAAATGGCTGATTTCGAGTTCTATTTATAGGCTGAGGGTCTGGGATTACGCAGGGCGTACTCGAGTTACGCAGGGCGTACTCGAGTTACGCAGGGCGTACTCGAGTTACGCTGGGCGTACTTTGACATCATTGCGTGCGTCGACTGGTGGCACTCGAGTATTGGTCAGACAAGTTGCATCCGACTGAGTACGCTGGGCGTACTCAAATTACGCTGGGCGTAATTGACTCGTCGAACTTCTAAATTGCATAACTTTTGCATACGATCTCTGTTGTCGGTGTTCTTTATATCCACACGAAGGTGAGACTACGATCTACAACTTTCGTTTAGACTCCGTCGGCTAATTTTGAATTTATATATATATTATTTATTTTTAGTAGGCCGGGACAAGAAAACTCCGTTATAAAATCATAACTTCTTTATCCGACGTCCGTTTTCTCCTATCTTTTTATCGTTTTACTACAATTAATGAGATCTTCAATTCTCATTTAGATTGTTTCGGCTAAAAACCGCTCGGTCTCAAATCGAGCATTCGGGCTACATACTGCTAAGTCGAAACTTCGAAAAATCATAACTTCCTCATACGAAGTCAGATTTGGGCGTTCTTTTTATGCACGCTCATGGTTTAACGTATTCTACGACTTTCATTTAGATTGCTAAGGCTAAATATCACTCTAACGTAAATTCACTTTTTAGGTCGCGCTGTGTCGTGCCGGTTCTGTCGCGAAACTTCAACAGGTCATAACTTCTTCATTATAACTCAGATTTCGGCGTTCTTTATATGTACGGAAACCTTGTAACATATACTATAACTTAGTTAAGATTATTCATTCTAAATAATCTTTCATCAAAAATTCATTTTTGACGCCTATCGTCTCTAAATTGACTAGCCCGAATCTACGGGCGTTATAATTAAGTGTGTTAGATCTGATCCCACATCGGCTTGGAAGGAGAACGAAACATTTCCTTATAAAGGGGTGTGGATACCTTCCTTGTCACAACGCGTTTTAAAGCCGTGAGGGCAGCAGATCCCATAAGAACTCTGCAGTTAAGCGTGCTCTGGCGGGAGTAGTACCAGGATGGGTGACCCCCTGGGAAGTCCTCGTGCCGAGTAGCCCAAAGCGGACAATATTGTGATACGTGCCATAGGGGGATGTTACAAATGGTATCAGAGCTAGGGCACGGGTCGATGTGTTCGACAGGGACGTCGAACCCTATAATGAGGGGTGAAAGTGGGTTAGATCTAATCCCACATCTGCTTGGAAGGAGAACGAAACATTTCCTTATAAAGGGGTGTGGATACCTTCCTTGTCACAACGCGTTTTAAAGCCGTGAGGGCAGCAGATCCCATAAGAACTCTGCAGTTAAGCGTGCTCTGGCGGGAGTAGTACCAGGATGGGTGACCCCCTGGGAAGTCCTCGTGCCGAGTAGCCCAAAGCGGACAATATTGTGATATGTGCCAGAGGGGGATGTTACAATATTATACATGTGAAAACTAATTATCCTATTAAGAATGTGATGAGAAAACTAGAGATGTCAAGAAGGATGGCAAAATGGTCAATGAAGTTAAGCATGTTTGACATCAAATATGAGCCAAGATCTACCAAAAAGTCACAAACATTAGTAAACATTGTGGCTGACTTTAGTGATGATCTACAAAACGAAATAGACATTGAAACTAAACAACTCCTAGAAGATGAACACTTAGGAAAATGGATGTTGTTCACGGATGAAACTTCAAACTAAAAAGGAACCGGGCTAGGGATCATACTAAAATCACCACAAGGGGGGACATCCTACCCCAGGTAGCTAGTTTTGAATTCAACACAACCAACAGTGAAGCCAAATATAAAGCACTCATCATGGGACTATAAATGGTTAAGGATCTTCAAATCAAGGATCTTCAAGTATTTGTTGATTCTTTATTATTAACTAAACACTTCAATGGATCTTATGCAGTGAAAGGTGAAAGATTAGTAATACACCTTGAGATCCACAAAAAATTAGCCTCTGATTTTGAAAATTTTACCCTAACCCATGTTCCTAGAAAAGAAAACACAGAAGTAGGCGCATTAGCCAACGTAGGATCCTCCCTAAGGATCCCACCATAAACGAATATCCTTATAAGCTACATAATAACTCCAGCTATAGAAGCCTTTTCCGACAAACCCAATGATCCTGAAAAACTAATAACTGTACTAGCCATTGGAGATCTTGACCCTCAAATCCCTCCACAAAGGGATCCTGATGAACAGGATACTCAAAGAAGCCCACAATCATGGATCCAACCCATTATGGAGTATCTCCAAAATGGCACGATCCCAACAGAAGAAAAAAGCAAAAGAGCATTCAAAACAAGAGTCTCAAGATTCATAATAATCCAAGGTAAACTTTATAAAAAGTCTATGGCAGGTCCATAACTCAGATGCTTGGAAGATCCTGAAGCTGTAGAAGTCTTGAAGGACATACATGAGGGAGACTGTGGAAATCACACTGGAGGCATATCCTTATGCACCAAGGTATTGAGAATAGGATACTATTGTCCAACCATGAAGAAAGATTCATTTCTACATGCTTAAATGTGTGATGCTTTCCAGAGACATAGCAACATCCTACATCAACTGGCGGAACTCTACATTCTATTATCTCTACATGGATATTCAAGAAATATGCAATGGATATAGTAGGAAAATTACCAATAACTCAAGGAGGAAAAGTATTCATGTTGGTGATGACTGATTACTTCTCGAAGTGGATCGAAACCAAAGACTTCATTCAGGTTAGATACAAAGAGGTAGTCTCATTTATTAAACGTAATATCTTGACCAGATTCGGGATCCCTGTTGAAGTTATATGTGACAATGGATCCTAATTCATAAGCAAGAGGACAAGATAATTTTGCACGAGTTAGGGAATCAAAATGATAATGTCCACTCCTATTCATCCCCAAGCTAATGGTCAAGCAGAATCTAGCAACAAGATCATAATAAACAACTTGAAGAAAAGGCTAGATGAAAAGAAAGGGAAATGGGTAGAAGAGCTTCCTTTCGTCCTATGGGCAAATAGGACTACTTCCAAAGTAGCCACAATTCAGACCAAGGTTCTAAATAACGTAAGGTGTGACTTGGCGGCAAGGTAAAAGTTAAGTCATGACAAACCTTGGCAAGCCATGACGTTTTGTTTAAGGCGTGACTATATTATATACATTAAAAGATATAAATCATATAATTATTGAATTTTATCAAATATATGAAGTTTTTAGAAATGTTATATTAATATCTAATAGAAAAAAGTTTACAAAAACTTATTTATTTTAGACCCGATAAAAAAAACAAAAAAACGACAAAAAAAACCGTCGCCTTGAAAAAAAAACTCGCGTCATAACGCGATAAGGCGCGCCTTGACACGTTATTTGGGCGTCACGACTCATAAACCCACCTTGGACGTTTTCGTAACGGCTACATCACGCCTCGCGCCATGGAACGCATTGAGACGTTTTCCCACAACCTTGGAGTTGTAACCGAATGAAATGTGATAGAATTCTATTTTAATATGTTGGTTAACAAAGTGAATATGTGAAAACCCAATTCTAGGGTTGGAGTGTGGGCTGAGCACAAATTTTTCATCGGCATACACATGTTACCATCTAAACACCTAGAGATTTATTTCTTTTTATTTTTTTTTTGCATTGTTATTGGGTAAATCCCAAATCCTTATTGGGCAAGCTCTTGTCGTGCAAAACCGAATATTAACATTTTGAAATGTTACTTTGGGGTTTTCTGCCTGATTATTTTTTGATGTGCTTAAAGTATCATATAGTGTCCTAATTAAAACAATCTTCTGGATCCTTGTTGGTCCCAAACTTACATTCACAAAACTAGTACATTATAAACACTTTTACTTTCCTTGACTTAGCCAACTTTCTACAGTGTGTTTTACACTAACCAAAGATACTAAACATCACAAAATAACCATATTATACAAGCATTACTCATATATTTGTTCATTGCATTCATACCATTGAATACTAGAAACATACCATAAACCGTTGCACCTTTTGAAATGCCGGTTTGACCTTTTGAAAGATGATAGTTTGGCAGAGTAACTACCAGAATATGACTCAATTACAGATAAGACCTCCAAGCTTAGCTTAAATCTTAACAACTTAGTAGTAAATTTTCATAAATTATTCTTCTTATTTCCATCTAATCTCCGGTAGAATTATATATTACATCATAACAGGCTCCGAATAAATCTCAAATCTTGTTGAACATGATAGTTGAGGCTCCTACATAGTCCAAACTCCATAATGTAAGCAATCAGCACAAACTTATATATAATTAACCATACTACTTATACAGATGCTTTACTAAATATTCTATTCAAAACTTACCATTTGTTAGTAAGTATTTGATTTGAAAAAGCATGCATGCAAAATATGTTCCTTGTGAACAGTTCCATTATATGCAGTTGTGGGAAGTGCGAGTGAACTATTATTTGGTGTTGGAAAATTTAGGTTACTTGGGAAACTAACAATATCTAAACCTTAGGGTTCATTTCAACCGCCTAGAGTAATGCCACACACCTACACGCTGCAACGTGCACACCATATCATCTTACTTCATACTAATTTTTAAAAGTGGCTTCCAATCGCATTGAGTCCCATGCTCCTAATGTTTCATGCATGGCCCCTTAGATAAATATATGCTTACACAAAGAATATTTGTATTCTGATAAGTAACACCTTTTGGATTCCAATAAGGTGAGAAATACCTGAGACATAGAAGATGCAAATGGTACAAACCGCCCAACCATTTGTTGAGCGTAATGGACTTTTTTCCGTATTGAGCTAAGTAACCTTCCATATGTCAATTTGCTTTCGGTTTCAATAACTTGGATGAAGCTAAAAGTTAATGCACCTATAGCATTGCCTGTGAAAGCCTGCATAAATGTCCTTATATTAATATTTTTTACATCAAATTCAATTAAGTCTGTTAAAAATATATTTTTTTTTTTAGCAATTAAGCCCAAAAAACTTATAATTTTACATATTCAAAATTTTTACCCAGTAAACTGGTCATGGATAGAGTATGAGCACTTTTTTATAAATAGGATATAAAAAATTTAGGTTTTTTTGTAATATATATCTTTTAAAAAAAAAATTAGTTTCAATATTTTATCTTACTAAAATCTTAATGTAATATTTATGTGATATAAAATATTATGATACTATTATCCTATTGTATTACTGTATTTGATGGATGATATTATCGTACAATATTTTCTTTAAAGTAAAAATAATAATCAAAAAGCTACAAAAATTTATATTTAGAAAATAATAATAATAATAATAATAATAATAACATTTCCCAAACAAATGATATCAATTTTGTTAAAATCATGATTTTGATCATATGATCGTATGATTTGATCATCATATCTATGTAAAATAATCATGATCATACTTTGATCGTTTTTGGGTAAGATATAATTATGATCATAAGACCGGATCATAAGATCAGAATATCGATTTTAAGTTCATTAACTTTAAATTTTCTCTAAAAATCTAATATTTGTTTCGGACTAACTAGATGCATCCAATATGAACCTTAGAAACACCTTTTGAATTTTATTTTTAAATAATGTATTAGAGATGTATTTTTAATTTTTTAAAGTAATTATTGTGAACTAAAGTGTTAATTGGTAGATGAAATAGGAAATATATTTATTATGTTTGAAAACGTTTTTGATGGGATCAAACTACCCTCGAATTGATCTTAATTACAATCATGATTTTACAAAGCGGAAAACAATGTTATATATGATCCCGATCTTGAAAAGCTTTGGTTGATATCATTTGTCAGAAAACTATAATCAATGTTATATTTAGAAGAAGGAAATTAACATGAAAGGATATTCTCCATCACAATGAGAATATCATAATATTAAATTAAGATAATGCAATTCATCAAGCACAAAGAATATACTGAGATTGTAAGATAATATTATAATAATCATTTTTTTATAAATAAATAAATAAAACCTTAAATTTTGATCATATTTATTAAAAAAATTGCATATTGGATTGGTGGCTATTGGTTTAACATGTAAAAACCCAAACATGAAAACAAATGCAAGTTTTTTTAGCCTAATTGCTCAAACAAGTATTAGGATTTAATTGAATACAATGTCCAAATGTAAGAACTTTTGTGAAGTTTACCCTAAAACAAATACATAGTTGGTAGCGTGTTTGAGGCTATAACCTTAACTGAAAAACGACGAAAGGACACTAACAAACAATATGTGTTGCAACAATATTTGTCGTTCTTAATCACTAATGTTTATGATTTTCGTTCCTACATCCTATAATGCATAGTTTAATGAAATAGTTGAATGTATTGGCATGCTTAATTGACATTCATAATTGTGGAATGTTATGTTAGCAACCAATGTATATGAAGTTCAATGATCATTGAATTTTTCAATAGGAAAATAAACCTTTTAATTATTAAATATATATTCCACGGAACTTTATATAATTAAATGCATTGTAAAAAAAACTTGAGAAAAATTATTTGGAGAGTTAAATAATGATGTGTCAATGTTGGAAAAAATGTCCAATGACCCAACTATTAGTAACATTTCTAATAATAACATGATTATTTTGGGTTGTCCTTAAGACTCTTTTGAGCAATTAAAAGACAAAAAAAATATACGAGAAATTAGTTTGTTAATTTATCATATTGTGATAAATTAATTAGAAACTATTTTATAATTAATATGGAATTAATTAAAGGCATTGAATGTTAATTAATAAAAAAACTTTAATTAATCATAACATTCCAGAACCCAAGGGATAAGGTTGGAAGAAAGCAGATAAGCCCTATCAGGATTTTGGAGTTGCTTTGGGATTAAGCAACTAAAGTCTATAAATAGGAAGTTATGAGTCAAACCCTAGATGCTCATTTCTTGCTAAAAATTTTGTTCTTCCCTTCCTCTTCCTGAAGTGGATAAAAATTATTAACCCTTCTAAGGATTGTAGCATGTTTTGATATCACTTCCCTCTCCTAGGGTTTTATCATTTTGTTCAAGTGGTTTTCTTGGGTGTGAGCTATTATAGGGATTCTACTTGAGTCCTTACATCCAAACAATGGTGAAAAGAACTAGGTTTCAAGTAAGGAGGTTTCTAGCTAATAAAGAGGTATGTAATGTTTATTATTACTCTCGTAGTTGTGATAATATAATGAAACTGATATTTGTAACACCAAGATTCTGATATGTTTCTCTTAAAAAGTTTTATTCAACAAGTTTTAGATTTGGTGGCCACAACATGGTGAATGGGGTCTCACGAAATGGCCATGGCCAGAAGGTGCGTGAAGGTTTAGTGGGCGCTACAACGTTGCCACCTGATGGCCATGATGTGGCATCAATTTAATGAAAAACTACAATTTTTGGGGTTTGCTCCCTTATTTAAGGAATTTCATGGCTAAGATCTGCACACCCTTAGCCTCCATCACCTCCCTTCCTCCCTCCTTCAAACCCTATCCTTCATTGTTGAAGTTCTTGATTTTTGTGGTGATTTGAAGAAGAAGGAGAAGAAGGTGATCCTTAGGAATTGATTCAGTAAGTAACTCTCCTAATCATCTTTGTGCATTTGTTTTGGACAATTATAAGTGTCCAAGCTCAACCTTTATGCATTAAACTTCTAGATGTAAGCTTTCATGCTAGTATTTTCATGATTGGGAAATTTTAGATGAATAGATCTCATAAAGTTAGCAACTTTATGAATTCTTGAGATCATTTTGGGGTCTAGTGTTGTAGATCAAGAGAGTTACGAAGTGTTGGTTGCTTTTATGAGATTTGAACCCCATTTTACACCATTTTGATCTAGTTTGAATTCTATAGACGCATTGGACATGCATGACAGTATAGCATCAATTTTTATGATGTTTTGGATGTAATAATACCTTCTGAAATGCATGGATGGATGACTGGAGAGATTAAGAGCTTAATGTAATAAGTTGGTTTGGGCGATTCCCATGATGTCGAGATTGACCTCCATGCTGTGGCGTTATGCAGTTTCACGACTATCTTGTCGTGAGTCTACCACGATGTGGAAAGGATTGGTCACAATGTGGCAGCCATCTGGGTTAACTTTTGATCGATAACTGTTGACTTTGTCCAAGTTTGACTTTAGGTCAAATTGAGGGTTTTGGATAGTATTTTAAGACTTGGTTCTTGATTGTTGTATAAGTGACCAAAAGTACATGTTTTGGATTTGCTAGAGCTATATTATTTGTTTGCTAGCCTATTAGGTGAGTTTTCTCACTATACCTTGTATTGCAGCATCTGTCCTTATGTGTAGGAAGTTGGCATAGTGTAGTGATATGGTATATCAGTAGATCTGTATTATTACATGTATTGTTGGTTATTGTTTAGTTCATATTATGGTTGGGTTGAGGATTTACTTCTTTGTACTATAAGCCAAAAAACGGTGTGCAATCCAGTCATAAGATGAAGGTCAAGAGGGAAATCCAGTTTTATGTTCCAGGATCGGGAGCAACCTAGTCATAAGTTGAGGGTCGGTAGTGTAATCCAGTCATATGTTGTGGGCTCAGAGAAAGCCAGTCTTCTTGTTATGGGCCCCGGGGGAATCCAAACTATATGGTTGTGTGTTTGGTGTGTATGCATTGTATATGTATTGTTATGTAGGGTACTTTTGGGGAAATCACTAAGTTTTGGCTTATATTTGTTGATTTCAATGTTTTCAAGTACTTTAGATGATCAAGGCAAGGCGAAGGCGTTATCGTAAAAATCTTCCTATTGATTTATGTTTAAGAGATTATTTGATTCTCTTATTTCTAGGGATTTGATTTGAAAATAATGGTTGGTTATCTTATGGTTTAGCAAAATCTTTTTAATAAAAATTAAAAAAACAATTCATGGTTTTGGGATGTTATAAGCTGGTATCATGGCTCTAGTTTGAAAGAATTGGATGAACGTTTGTGTGATTTTAGACTCAAACTATGGATCTACAAAATATTTTTCAGAATTAATTTTAAAATGATCAATGGAGAGGATGTGATGTGTATAATCAGTCGGATCCTAAGGAAAGTTATTTCCTAAGAAATCCACACTTGTTCTATGTGTATTGATGATATGTTAGAAATGCATGTGATATTATAGGTTAGGGATTTTCAGGAAATTGCTAATAGAATTGTCAGATTTATGTTGCATGATAGCCTAGAGGATTTCTTGGTATGATATATGAGACTGACATATTACTATAGTTTTTTAGTGTATGCATCATGGTTGTACATAAGTAATATTTTATAGCCTGAGAATGTTTGATTTACCCTTATTTCTTATTCCTTGTCTAGTTTTGGACATAGGGTAGGATTAATTATTCTATTGTCTATCGAATCTAGTATTATGTATGATTAGTATACACAAGCCGATTGCAGGGTTAGTGGAATTTTCATGAGTGAGTTGGGTTGTTACTAATTCAGCAAGTAAGGAATTGTTAGTTACTCTTGAGAAAGTTGATATAGGATGTATGGGTATCCTAGTTGCTTGGGCCTAGTGGTTAGGAATTTCATGTAAGGATTTTCCTGATCTTTATGATGTCTTGTTGCCAATCGGTTTCGGTGCTCGAATGTTGCTTGCTTTGTGTTATGCGAGGCCTATATTGATGTTAATTAAGTATTATGTGAATATGTTGGGTTGCATGTCACAAGGATTAAATAATATAAGATTATTTGATTCAATTCTATTGTGCAACTCTTGTTTGAGTCAAACTGTTGTAGGGCAGGATCTTTCAATCGAAAGATTGTTTAATTTATGTTGCATCTAATTGTATTCCTAAGATGGTTAATTGGAATTTGTAGAAGTTTCCTCTACGGTTGAGTGCACGGTGAGGTAGGGCTCTAGATTGACTAAGG